ATGGGAGTAAATCTGTTTGGAACTCACAACATGAACATGTCTTCTTCAACAGGTTTACAAGTCCATCCATCTTTTCGTCTTTAACTTTGAACTCCACTCGGTTGATAGGTTTAACTACAAAGCGATGTGCATCATTGAACTATTTGCTCAATTGCTTGGTAACCCAAGGGCTGCGGGGTGTGGTCACCTTGACGGCCTCCTCGTATCAGTCATGGAACCAACACTGGAACAGGTCTTTAATGAACTCGATCAAAACAGTGATTGGCATTTGTCTTGCATGCTTCAAGCATGAGTTAACACATTTCGCAATGTTGGATGTCATGAGTTGGTATCGCCTAGCTGGTGAACGTGCAAGTGCCCATCTCTCAGGGCCTATTCTCATAAGGTCAGTGTGGGCCTTTTGCGTGAATCTACTGGAGATAGTTCATATGTCTGTTGAAACCGGATACCTTATAGCAATCTCGAGCAAGGGTGAAAATCATAAAAAGGTCATCATGCTTGAACTTGTTCTTAAAGTTTTTCTTCAAGTGGTAACCGCATAAACTGTGGTGAGCTTTTGGGTATGCATTTTGGAATGCTTTTTTAATGTCGAAATGCTGATCAGAAATGAACATAGTATTTTTAGGACAACCAACCATATTACACAGCTTGCTAAGAAACCACGTCCATGAGTCTTCATCCTCAATATGGCTGATGCCAAACGTAACTGGATATACGCACTCGTTTGTGTCTTTGCATACAATGACAAACAGAACACCTTTGAACCTACCTTTCAAATGTGTCGCATTAATTGCAACCGTATGACGCATTACATCCCTAAACCCCTAAATACAAGCCCTATATGACCAAAACATATTTGAATCTTTTTGCCTTATCAGTAGCCACCGCAGTGATTGTGCCAGGATTTTCTTTTTCAATATTAAGTACGAGCGTAATAGTTGAAATGACTCCTGAGGACGAAAACAAGCATTTTCGCATTACTCCTTCGCTTGCCATGCCTTACATACAAGCATTCCAATCCCACTGCCTCATTAACTCCAAATTATGTTCCTAGGTCTTCAATGCTACTCCACTAGCCTGAAACTTGTGTGACATAAGTTCACCAATTATCTTCGCACTCACCGTGGGGAATCGCCCTTGCAAACCATCGACAGTATATGTGTGTACTTTGTGGAACGTCCAAACTTGCTAATATTCTCCTTCAAGTAACTTTGTTGCACACACATCGAACTTGCATGCCTTGTCATTGCAACCAATCTCATAACAACCTTTACATGACCTTTTTACTCTTATCCCAAAATGCACTTTTTGAGTGAATATGTTCAAAGCTCGTTTCAACTCAGCCTTCGAGGAAAACATTCTTCCTTTGTATAAGCAATCATCAGCAGATATCAACTCCTTAATGGTAACTATTTGGAAAGAGAACCTCTTTGCACCTAGAATTACCCACGTACGACATATCCCTGCATTTCCAATATCTTGATAATTGTCATCCAGCAATGTATCAGGGGAACGAATCCCGTTCTCACTAGCGATGGGGTTATTGTATATGGGGTCATCACACCATACATCTCTTACATCAACACCTCTAATAGGTTTCGTTTCACCTTCGACATTATTGCAAATTAGAATATCACTACCATAAAGCTAGTCATCATCTGAACTATCATCAAGCCCATCTTATGAATTGTCATCAAATCTATCTTCACCGACAGGGAATAAATCCTCATTTCCCTCATTAGATATAGTATTATCCTTGAGTGTCGCAGTGTCACGTCCAACATTGCAGTGTTATCCTTAAGTGTGATATTTTCATTAGAAAATGCCATTACAGCCTCTACAGTTTCACCCGATCGTTGCATTGGTTGGAAAGAAGCAAGTAATTGGTTTAATGCATATCCTGATCGAAATTGTGCAGCCAACTGTTC